AGAAAAGGATAATCTACTGAGATATGATTGATTAGAAATCTGTTTGTCAAATCAGAGTAGAATGACAGCACATGTGCCAGAAAAGCCACACACCAGAGAGCCTACCTCAGGTACTCCCCCCCCCCCATAAATAACAGCAAATTTAATCCCCAGTTTCTATGGGGACAAACATGCAGCTTTCCTTTCCCACTGGTATCTGCAGGTTTTCTTTTCCAGAAACATTAACTACACAAGTTTCATCTTAGGACCCAAATTTCCTCTTGACTTACCATGAACCCTGAAGAACAATTCTTGGGTCCTGGCCACTGACCATCTTTAAGTGCACAGTTAAAAACAGCAGTGGCAAATCATCATGAACTCTGGTTACAGCTGAGAACATTTAACTCCCCATTACACACAGGGGTGTCTATCAGCAACAGACCTAGACTCTGGCTAGGAATTCTGGGCTGATGCTGAGCACACCAGAGCTGGGTTCAGTACATGCTTATGGTATAATGGCATTGTTGCCAGAAGATACTTGCACAATTTCAACTGTTGCTATGGCCTCTACACAGAGACCATGAATTAGATTGGATTAAATATGAGTCAGAAGAACACAAGTGGGCTTCCATTACAGCTCAAGTAATTTATCAACTCAATAAATAAATATTGAATAATTTTATCTATGGTTGTTTGTTTCTAAATGTGTGATGCTCAGCAGATTATGCTTTTCTTTACAGGAATAGAAGCTTTCCATCTTCATTCCCATCTTACTTTCCTTTTAGAACCTACATACCATGTTCTATACTAGGTATTGTTATCACTAATATTTTGTGTACACAGAGAAGTACTTGTGTATAGGATATTACCAACACAGCCTCTTTGGAATGACAGTAATTTTCCTATCCAAGAGGCAAAAGTAGTAAAAATGACACACTGTTATTTTTAACTACAATGCTAACTCCTATTCCTCAGTAGCCTGTATTCTATCCGAGTTAGGCTGGAACAGATTGGATCTTAAAAACGTAGCTAACACATGTTTGCTGTGGAGCACTAACAGTGCAGCAAGTTCTTTGGGCCTCCTTTAGTTGCTTCTTCTACTGCCTGTACAGAATGTACACAATACAGAGCATCACTTGGTATCCGCAGGTCAGACATTGCGTTTAACAGTAAGAAAATCCGAGAAGATGCCACTTTTTCTCAGTTTCACAGCCATATAACTTTCCATTGGACATCCCCATAAGGATTGAGAGTTACGGAAACAAAATTTGCATGGGAACACACCACAGTATTAGCTCTGCAATGACCACATATTTTTAGGAAATAAGAACTGTATCTGCTATGACTGCAATGCTAACATCAACAAGATGTAAGCCTATGAAACATGCTGTAGAAAAAAATAAACCAAACAGTAAAAGGATTTTTTTAACGTTCACATTGATCATGTACTTTGTACACTAACAACTTGGTCATATTGCCTCAAGCCTTCAAGTCTTCTTAATGTGAAATAAGTATGCTTATTCTTCAAATAACATCTTTTACTGAAAAATGAAGACAAATGTCATACCTTTGCTTCTCTAAAACTGATTGGCTATTTAGTAAAACAAATTAGCTATTGCTCTCATTTGCATTTTTAGACACTCCCAGAAGCCAGATACTGCTTTGCTATCATCCAAAAACACAGCTGAGAAGAAATGTTTCTCTTTTAGGGTTCAAATTCTACTTAATAGTCTAAAATACTGGCTATTGAATTACAGGAAAAACAACTTCAATTTAATTGTTACCTTGCGACATTATCCTTAATACCACATAATTGCAGAAATAATTAAATGTAATTACTAATTATTATTAAATGCAATGATTGTTGCTGATAGATATAAATTATGCATTAATCATGATCTTGACCTATCCTGAGTAAATCACACTGGACACCAAGGCAAAGTTTGTAATTAAAAGAGAGAAAATCCAATTGCAGAAAAGCAGCCCAGAGGCTGGATAGAACAACTTGAGGTCCTTGGAATCACGGAAAGGTTTGGGTTGGAAGGAAGCTTTAAAGATCATCTCATTCCAACCCCCCTGTCATGTGCAGGGACATCTTCCACTAGATCAGGCTGCCCCAAGCACCATTCAATGTGGCCTTGAACACTTCCAGGGATGAGGCATTGACAGCTTCTCTAGGCAACCTCTCTCATCAGCTTAATAAAAAAGTTCTTCCTCATATCCCACCTTGAACTATCCTCTAGTCAGTTTGAAACCATTGTTCCTCCTCCCCATTCCCACAGCCAGACTCTCTCTGCCCTGGAAGCACTAATACACACTCTCCGAGGAAGAAGGAGCAATTCCATTTTCTGTGCAAACAGTTTTTCTGAAAATGAATAAGTTTCCCAATTGCTACTAATACAGACAAAACAGAAAAGCTTGTATACACATCAAAGCTCCTTGGAAGAAAAAGCCTAACAACACCAAACGGTGCTGTGAGACCTTGAGGAGTGACCTCGAGGCTGCTGCAATGCTGTAAGCAATTGTGCTACTCAGGCTGTTCAAATTAGGTTCTTCTTGCTGTGACAGCAGTTCCCAGCACATGCCTGAGTGAGCTTTCAGAAGGGATGTATTTGTTGTTTCAGTGTTTCCTGTTCTCTTTGGAAACAACCAGGATTTCCAAATCCAAAATGCATCCTTTTTTCACTATCTTGCACATTGCTGCTGGTGCTTGCAACCAGAGTGCAGCTGTATCTATAATTTCCTAGTAACTTGACCTACACTTGTTTTATAGTAACTCTGCAAGAGTAAGAAAAAATTCTGGACCATAAATTAAGGACCACAGCTCAGCAGTTGGCCAACTCACAACAGAGGGAAAACAAGGCATTTTTTAGTATTTCTATCTGGGATCAGACAGCAATTACTCACATATGATATTTAATATATTTGACAGAAAGCTTTTCTCTCTTTATTTCCCTAAACTAACCAGCAATAAATTCAGAACACCACACACAGGGCATACATTCTGTGATATAATCACCTAGATCTGTCATGTTCCTCAGGCTACTCTTCCAAACAAGAGCTACCACCTGCCTCCCCTTGAACCAACACAAATAGTATTTCTATACTAAACAGTTACTTACATCCGTGAACTGAATTCTGGGTGGAGACTGAGGTTCCCCAAAACTGAACATGCTAGACCCCTGTGACTGTAGAAAAATAATATAACACTTCTGTACAATTATTTTGCCATTCAGAAACCTGTTTTGGAGGAATACAGAGAAATAACCAAGCTGATCAATAAAATTACAAGTCTAGTATCAGATCAGAGCTGCCACATAGAAAACCAGGAGCTGTATTTTGGCTTTTAAGTGATAGATGAATCTCTGCTAATAACTGGAAAGTGTACAATAAGTTACCCATTAAAATGAGATCTTACATCTCAGGTGTAATAACATCTCTACTCAATTTCTAAGCACTAACATTGCTGGGAATGCAAACATCCCACATTCAGCAAGTACCAGAAAAAAAAAAAGATCCAGCATGAAACTAACAAAGTAGAAACAGTTTCGTATCATCATGAGTCACGTTTAGGATTATCTTGCCCCTTTTCTTACCCTCACACATCACTTCCCAAAAACACCCCACCCAATTCCCCAAAGCCCAAGGAAAAAGTTCACAATTAAATCTATGCAGTTCTTCAAACAGATAAAATGCCTTTCTATAGCTGCACATCCCACCTGCCTGAAGCACTGCATCACTAAAACCCATCACTTGGTGCCCTGTGGTTATAACCTTGATTTTTTTTCTCCCTATGATCATAACAATTAAGCTAAATATATGGCTTCCCTTGTGGAATAAAACTGTCTTTTAGGAAGGGGCTGTCTTTGATCTGCCAATAGCAGGGGTGCAACGGCAGTGTCTCCAAACAACTCTAGAGTCTCATGGCCGTTTCTCCCTGGATGAGGGACTCCCGGGGCAGCTCAGAGGCCCTCGGCACACCGCTTGCCTGGGGCTAGCAGCGTGCCTTTAGTTGGTGCCGGCAGCTCAGGGGGATGCAGGAACTCGCCAGGTTGCCGTTTCCGTGCCCTGGAGTCCCGGTAACACTTGCTGCTCCATAGACAGCAGGGAGTATTACAAGCCCTCTTGCTCACACCTAAGAAATGAAGCTGTTTTTTTTCTCAGCCTCACTTGCTGCAGTGCTGTACCTTTGGAATCAGCCTTGCCTTGTCTCTGGTAGCAAGTGCAAGATAGCACTCAGGGAAAGCCAAGCTTCACGCCACAATATTCTAATGCTTAACAGATTTAAAAGCAACTTGCGGTCCCAGGAGGGGTCACCACCGTTTTCACAACAGACCCTATTCACAGGAGATAAACCCAAATTCAATCGTTCTCAATGGACAGGGAAAGGTAGAAGCTGATTGTCATCTCTGTTTAATTTCTTATTTAATTCTGCATCTCTCTTTCCCACAAAGCTATCCCTAAAAAGGCATCGTTTCCAAGAGAGCTGTTTCTAACAGCTCGGGACTACCAGTGAGCCATGAGCACCTCCTTGGCCATAGTGGGACTTGCCCAGAGGGGACATTCAAACTTCCCAACAGCAATAGCAGACAAGGATATTACTTCTATTGCATAAACAGCACTTTCTCTTTGCATGGGGAAAAGATGCAAAGCGGAGGTACATTATTCAGAAGAATTCCTTCCATGTTTGGTACATTATTCAGATGAATTCCATGTTTAAGTGGAACTTCTTCTAATAGATGTGACTGACCTGCTCATCAGAGCAATGCTTTTTTAAAAAATCTTTTCAGGATGACATTAAAGAACAAGAAGTTAAAAACATTATTGGTAGTTACAGGTCTAACAGCAAAACAGTTCAAGCCAAGAGCACATGAAACTTTTCTGCTTAACAATATTGAAATCCAAGATAATCTGTATTTCATTAATTTACTTCATAGCAAAGCAGGAGGACAGGAAGGTTCTGTGCCACTAACTTGGGGCAATACTAAAACTCTTAACAATGTGTGTGGATCTAACATTACCTTTTTATTGCCAATATCTCCATTCCCATCTTTAAAGCAGATATTGAGATGGCACTATTTCAGATAACTCCGAGAACTAGACCTGGAAAGGAAAGTACAGTTTAAGAATAAAATGCAAGAGGTAAGAGAACATCTCCTAGGGACTTACACTGCTGTATAGTGGGCAACACCCATGAAAGTCCAGTTTATGAATGGTGAAGTTCAGGTCATACCTTGGAAACCATAGTTTTATGTCCTTCCATCCAACAGCTGTAAACTCTGGGCAGGAAAGGCTACCTGAGCTAGTCAGAGGTCAGCATTAAAATCAATGGTGTCCTAAAAACACTATACTTACAGAGACACCTTTAGAAGACTTGCTGAGCTGAACAGATATAGCTTCTCTTGTTTTTTGGTGGTTTTCTTTGGAGGGAGGAATGGAGCTTTCTCTAGAGTCAAGATGATCATCAGATGGCAGAAGCTGTGAACATTAAGTGTCTTTAAACAGTCAAATTGTCTGAGCAGGTGAGAAAGTTTAGCATCTTTTTATTCTAAGCCATATTTTTAGTATTTTTAAAATAATTTTTTCTAAGCATCCTCACCACATTTAGATATATTCCCAGATTGGTATTTTTACTTCCAATTTACAATCCCCCAAGCCTGTCACTCTTTTGAGAGCTATGTGGCTATGTTACAAAATTTTTCCCTGAACATGTGTAATACTTTAATTACAATGAAACCTGATCATAAAGACCTCACATAAGAAATCAATCTGATGGGGAGAAATAGATGTTTCTTATTTTGTTTTAAACTCACCTGACAAATATTTTGAAATTTAACAGCCATTCTGTTACACAAGTGATTTCACTGACTTTCCTATAGCAGATCCAGACTATTTGAGACTACAGTACTGTTATCTGTATCTAGAGAGGGAGAGAAAATCTTAATATCAACATTCTTAGATGGTTCTCCATACCACAAAATGAGCAACAATACTTAATGCAATGCCAGAGACACAGAGCTGTGAAAGTCACACGCTTAGGCCTAAAGAAACCAAAATCTTCAAGATGATTTAACACCTTTCCCTCTGATGAGTTGCTGCTAAAACCAGCACTTCAAATGTGTCTAGACCATGTGTATGTGCTGAACACCAGCAAGCTAATAGTAGGTAGGCTGCTCCTAAACAACCTAAAAGAAGTCACTGCAACAAGGAAAATAGATAAAAAAGGACTTAGAACATTAGGATCCCAGTTTTGCTGTCATAAATTCTCTTCATAAACATGATTTCCCCATAGCATAGCCAACAAGTCATCACTACCAACACAGCAAGTGGTTTAAGTTGCTTGACTCTCATGGCCATCATTCATTTCGGTTTGCACTAGAATCCTCTTGGCAAGCTCAGAAACAAGGAGAAACTAAGAACTTCAAGTACTTAATCTCTGTTCTAATTGCTCATCCTCCCATTAAGTGTGCCTTTCTAACAGAACATATTTTGAGGAAGCTGCTAAATATCTCATCGATATTTAGATTCATTTGGAAATCTTTAGGGCTACTACTTCACAGCTGTTACACAGAAAAACTTTATCATATCAGCTGAATGACTTCCCAGTAATAATTTCCTAAGGTCAACAAACCAGAAAATAAACCCCCTTTTTTTCCATGATATCTGGATGACATAGTGCTATATAGTCTCTCCTTTGCATAAGAGATTAAATCACCATCAGTTTGGGATCTGTGCGAGTATGAAGCACTCCCTGTAGACAATGTGCAAATAAACTTTTTGGACTTGCCAAATTTTTAACATGTAACAGAGAAATCTACTATATTAGATGCAACATGAGAATGAAATTAAGCCAGGCACCTAAGGCAGCACTCCCACATTACTCCTCAGACAAAAAAAACCTAAACTGTAAAAACAAAACTAGTCTTCATTATCTACAAACAGCCTGACTAATTAGCCCATTCTGGGGTGTTTTTGATCACAACCACAATAATATCTATGATTTCCTATTATTTTGTATAATCAATATGTATTATTTCCTATTTTCACAAGCATACTTAAGGTTGCAGTCTTTACAATCTGTCCCCTACCAGGCACAAACACCACAGACTGCTCTGTAGAGCCATAGCTAAGGTAAATTGAAGGTTTCTCAGAGTCCTGCTTAGGAAAAGTAATGCTGGGAAAATGGCAAGTGGGCTTTTAATGGCTCGTACAACTGGTTAATGAGTGACATTAAAAGACATCTGTTGTTTGGAAAACAACATGCCAGCACACAGAAGGCTTCCCGATACCAAAGATTACCATTGTCTGACTTAGCTTTAACATTTTCGACCACATTCCTCACCCAGATTTTAAATTTATAAAAAAACTATCCTTAAAATTATAATTCAACAGAGAAAGTCCAAGACATGATATTTTAATATCAAGTTGTTTTCCAATAAAATACTTGTGAAAACCCCCTGGATTCTTAGTTTTGGCCACCTTATATTTTAAACAAATAAGGGTATTTAGCACTGAAAATATGAGGTTACTACATGTCTAGAATAATCTCCTAATGTTCAAAGCATACCTCCAAAAGGTTTACATAACCTTTGATTTCTGGGGATCTCTTCCTCTCACACACAGAGAAGAATAACTACGCAATACACAGAGGATCATACAATCTCTACTTTTGGCATTTTTCTCCTCAGCAACTTTTCTGAATGACACCACAAAGTTAATGGCACTTCTTCCCAATCCTACTGAGGAGAACATCTGAAATTAGTCATTATCTTTTATGCCTCAAAAATGGCTGAAAAACGTTTAGGGAAGAAATAGGTGAGTTTATGTTGATTTCCAAGGCAGTAAATTGAGACAGTAAAAGATCAAGTAATTTGAATGAGTCACAAAAATTTGGCAAAGGAAGAAATTAGAACTTGATTTCCTGAGTTATGACCTGGAGCCTTTTGAACTAAAGCTACAAGCTTGATGATTTTACCATTTGTATACCAAAGGCAACATCCACAAAGTACATGGAGTCAGCAACTTGAATTATGCCTGATAAGGCAGCTTCTACCAGAAGTATATTAATGCTTTCCTAAGCTCTGATTGTACTGCAGCAGCATGTCAGGCTTCTGTTCTAAGCCCTCACAAGGCTTTGGCACACAAACAAATGGCTTCCAGAGTGTACCTGTGAATCCAGTGGTCCAGACACAAGCACACACTCATGACCCTTGCCCTGATGCTGCTTGAGGTGGAACGTGAATCCAGCAGAGATCATATTGGCACACTGACATCCCCACACCCGTCTGGGGCAGAAGCCAGCCCAGCCACTGTGGTCACACTGGCACTCATTGCCAAGGCAATTGCCAGGCTATGACACAATCCAGTCCTTTTGCCTAAGATGAGGCACGTCAAGCATGAAGATGAAGAGCTGTGTTTAGCACGCTTCTGTTCCCACACCATAAATAAATAAAAGGAAACAAATATTTTTCCAGAACTTCCTTGTGATTCACAGTGAGTTTGCCTGGCAGACTAGGTGGCAGTTACTGAAAAGGCAGAGCAGCCTCTGTGGTACCCAGTGGCTGATGTCCTGGAACGTGGATTGTACAGGCAATCTGAACACTCAGCACGGCTCACAGGAGCTTGTTACTGTAGTATTCCTTACACAGTGTCACATATCATCCCTTGCTTTCCCCTGCAGAGTCTGAGAGATATTTAAAACTATGCATTATGGCAGGAAGTTTGCCAAACCAGAGTTAAGGCCACATTTAATCCTCACTGAAGTCCTTGCAGGATCTCAAAAAAAGTTACCATCAATTTTAGGATTCTATGTTTAAATTCTCATCCTAATTTCACTCACTACAAGGTTTCAGAATGAAGGCAAAAAAAGATTGAACACTTGCATCCAGATTATCTTTTTAAACATATACATCTACTGATTCTTACAAATATATTTATCATATGTAACTGACAGGGAAATTATAAACAAGCTAAAATGGAAGCAATAGCATGATGGGTTGAGCTGGAATAAGATGAATAAACAGATCCAGTAAAAAGGAAGTGGAACAGAGATACCTTATCTTATACTAAAGGGATCTATTTATTATCACAGAGTATAATAAAAAGAGAAATTGCATAGGAATGGAGAAACTCCATGGATAATGCTTCACATATTTCATAGCATTCCTCTTAAGGAGAACATGAACAGATGAAGATATTTTTCTCATTTACACCAAGATATTATCAACAACTGTGACTGGAAAGATTCTGAGAAAGAAGAAGGAAAACCGAAAACTTGCAAAGTTTTTCCTTGTAAAGAAAAGCTTGGTTTTTCTTTAGTCCATCTAAAAACATGTGACAGCATCACATAGTAAAGACAATGACCATGGACCTACATCTTACCTGGACAACTACATGCTGGAAACTCTTGCACTATTAAATTAATTTTAAAGTTCTGTTCCTGAAATTACTGTATGGAGCAAGGGGCATTCCCCAAAAACCAAACCAGCTTATCCTGCTCCAAATCTTTGGTTGAACCTAATAAAATTTCCAAGTTAACTTTCGTGCTCTTCTTGATTGCCATGGACTTGGAAGGCAGTGCCTCAGACAACTAATGGGATCTTTGCAGTGAGATGTGCAGATACATGTTCCAAAAGCTGTGCCAATCAAAGATTTTCACAACACACAGATAGTAATTCCATAGCTGTGGTGATCTAAGAGAGGTCAGGCTCGTAGGGACAGGTAGTCTTGTTAGGCAAACCCCTGGGCACACAGTCAGGGACTCAGTGAAAGGTCACCTTTGTGAATCCACGCAGCCAGAAAAAACACCAGAATAAGATGACTGAGCATGCAAAAATTTCTTGCCTAACATGAAACTTGATAATGGGGCCACATGTGAGCTCTGCCCTGTATGTAAAAAGGAGTATTCACATCACATCAGCACTACAATAAAACTACAGACTCCTATATGTAAATGTCCTTTGCATACAAAGACACACATCGAAGATAGCATCCATCTGATGAAGCTTTTGTGTACAAAACCTGAAATTGCTTCAGGAGCCCACAGCTCAGAAATGATACTTTACTTACCAATTAACTTCTCATGGCACAAATGCTGCTTTCTTGCTGCTCACATATGTCTTCAGTGCATTATATGGCAGATAGCTCCAAGCTATTTCTGGAAATTCACCCATTTTTGAAGAGAAATGTATACATATATTGCACGACTGTTCTTTGAAATATCAATATATGCACTTTTTATGTCAGTCTGAATACAACCACTACTAAAACCACATTTGGGAAACCCTTTGCCAATAAACCCACTGTTTTAAAAGCTATCAGCTCACACAGTCAAATCAGTGGACAGTCAACACTTTGTTCCCCCAGCTGCATTATAGTGGAATAGAAATTAGGGGCATGTGTCACATCTCCCCTTCCAAAAGGAAGTCAGCAGCATTATAGAAAGTAAAGAAAATAATTTAACAGCCATTACACAGAACACTCCAAGAAAGGGCAAGAAAAAAAACTCAAGACAATAATACAAGTATGATTGGGAAATACACTTATTCAATTACAATCCCATGGCACAGGTGCCAGTGGGATACTGCAAATTCCACCACACAGATGAAATTCAACTCAGACTAAACACGAAATAAAAAAAATTAATTGATTGACTTGCAAAGAGACACAACCAAAGACAGCACCAGTGATTACTTCACCTTACTGGCATAAAAGGACTTAAATAAATAGTTTTTATTTAGCCTTTAACCTGGTCAGAATCAGCAAGTATATCAAATGTTAGCTAGAACAAATAATTGCACCTTACAAAGGAAGCTATTTTTTCTGGCATCTTTGGTGGTTGCGTTTTTGTTTGTTTTGGGGTTTTTTGTTTAATTGGTGGTGGATTTTTGTGGTGTGTTTTTTTTTGGTTGGGTTAATTGTTTTTATTTTCTTTTTTGGTGGTGATAGGGTTTGTTGGTTTGTGGTTGTCTGGTTTTTTATTTCTGTTTCTAATATTTGGGTTTTGGGGTTTTTTTGNTTTTTTTTTTTGGTTTGGAGTTTTTGTGTGTGTGTGGTATACCAAGAGCAGAATACCAGCACAATACCATCAGAGATCCTTGGTTTTCAGGGCTTACCTGCACTGCTCCAGGCCCCAGATGTTCTCAAACTTGACCAGGTAAATATAACCTGTCTACAACAGGAAGTTCCAGGCATGAACTGTAGCTTCCCATCTCATACAATTGATATCTAAATCAGTTCATTTTCTCACACATAATTTGATATTGCATCACTACATGACCCTTTCCTTAAGGCAAATTGAATCCCATCATATCTCCCAACTATCAGCATCCATTTCTTTCTAGCCATGTCACTATTTACAAATGCTTCATCTGCCAGGATGTTGCAATTTTGGAATAGGAGCTGGTAACTTGTATTTTGGCAAGGTTCACATGCTTAAATTTCACTTACCTCAGCAACATTCTAGGCATGAAGTATTTCCACAATTTGCCCCCTGTCCTCCCTGTTTCAGTCTGTAGATTTTCTCCTTCTGTGTTTCCTTTGGGCATGTACTGTCACAATATGGAATAAAATGGGATGCAATTTATGTTACTAATGCCATGCATTTAGTGGTGGTGCTGCTATGTACTGCAGACAAAAAATATGTGTTTCACCTTAATTTTCAGTCTATAGTCATTCCCTCTATAGTCAAAACAGTTGTTCCCTCTTGCTCATTAAGTGTATCTTTGAAGCTAAGCTGTCTATTTGAAAACCATCACTGCTCTGCTGTAAGCAAGAACTTCATATTGAAGCATAACACTGATGAGCAGCCTTTCTTTCATTTCTGATGGTTGACTTTACCACAAACCTCATATCAGTTGGTTGAAAAACTGAATGAAGTTAGGCTGAAAATATTTCTAGAATCAAAAAAATTAAAGGCATTATTTTTATTTGGGTAGTTATGTGTCATTTTCATGGACCAAAAACCACAAGATTTCAAATCTCTTTCTATTTAAAGATGCTCAAACTCAGATTTTGCTGTCCAAATGCTCAAACAAGCAGGTTGTATCACCCCACAGGACAAGTCCCTTATGATGGATCTGTCAAGATGCCACCCTTACATATTTGCATATTTACTGGGCATTAGTAAATACTTTTTCCTTGATATTTAAAAATAAATTCAAAGATGCCTCTGCTGCTCTGTAATATTGGGACACTAAAAAGGGCAGGTAGTGTTAACCTGGAAGGGAGAGAGAAATTTTCCAAGAGAGATTTTCCCATTATCAGTCACACAAAGTGTTTGATCCAGACAAGGCAGCAAGGTGTGACACCATCTGCCCATCACTGTGGTTGTCAATTCTAATGAAATTTAGTTGTTCATGAATGTTGCTTCTGTTTTCTAGAATGAAATATTACTCATTTCACAGTGCTGCATGTATTTGTGTTTTGTTCAGTGACCAGAACAAATAAGTTATTGGCACAATGATGTCCATCTTGTTAAACCCAGGCTATCATATGGACCCAACACGGCAACTACTGCCAGCCCTGTCACCAACATGTGCAAGTCACTTCACTAATTCTTTGATGACTTGTCCTGACTTCTCAATTGACTCTTCACACATTAGCACTGTTGTAGTCAGCTGCTTTTGATTCACTGACTTCACATTCATATTCTCCATGATTTATCATTGCTTCAGTTCCTTAATCTCTGGCTCCCAGTCACTTCCTTCCCTGTATCCCATGGTGTTTGCTTGCTCTGCAATAGGTGGCAGAAGCTCTCTCTGAATCTCTGAAGCTTCCTTGTTTCACATCCTGCTGAAGGGTGCACTCATTGTTCCTTGAATGCCACCCTTCTTGCTGCAGAGAGGGCAATATCCTTACATCTTACTACTTGGCCGTATCCAAAATATGCATAAAGCCCTTGGGAAAAAGCCCTGAACAGTTGGCAGAAGAGCAGCTCTCCTCACCCCTCCTGCAGACTCATCTCTGTTTCTAGAACAAACCACAGTGCAGTACCACCTTTTGCTCTAATAAAGCAATCATCTTTTACACTTACCATTGATTTCTTCTTGGAGATCAACCCATTTGACTTAAGCTCCTGTCCAAAAAAATTTTTTTAAAGGCACCATAGAGGTGCAGGGGGATGCAGCCAAATTTTTCTAAATGTGAGCTAGGCTGGAAGGGAAACTGGAGAAATTCTCTTGAGCCTTATTTTTAGCAAAGACAAAACAAGAGACAGATTTACCCCAGAAAGAAGCAAGAAAACCTATTCCTTAATAAGCTTGTACCACTAGATGGTGCTTTCAAGAGAACTAAACAAGTCAAGTCAAAGCAGCAGGCAAGGTCAACACACCAGAACGGAGAGAAAAAAAGCACAACAAATCAAACTAAAAACATAGCTTTTTGTTATTAGACTTGCATTCTAGGCTAGGCTGTGGTTCTCTGGCAGAGAAAGGGAGCCTTAACACACCCTGTCATCACAACAGGGACATGACGAGCAATGACGTGGTAATAAATATTCTGAGCTCTCAACTGCTTCTAGCAAAGGATACCAGGGCATGGAGAGAAGAAAATAGACTCAAGCACCCTCTGGGCAAGCAGATGTCATTTTCAGAAAAAAGATGAATTACACTCAAAGTGACCTGAAGCCATCTCACTTACCACCTGTCACAGTCCCTCCAAGCATAAGACTGGATCACTGGGCTCGGTGGTCTGGGGAAAAAAGGAAAAAAGTTGGTATTTGTCCTTATGAACAGGCATGAATTGAGAACTCTTCTGGTTATTTCCACCATTCAGAAGCTAGTTAAACAAACCATAAGAAAAGCTTGGCAACTGCCTCGTTAATCATGTTTTAAAAAACATGTAACATTGCTGTACAGATATGCAACTCAGCCAGCTGGAAGCTTCAAGATGTTTTGATTTGCCTCATGCTCTAGTCAGGTAATGAATAGAACATGGCACAGAACAAATATATACATTTTAATTTCAGTCTTTGCACTGTTTTATTGTTTGTTTAAGCCAGCCCAACTAAGACTGCTTGCACTATACGCCCCTGGTTGCATTCCATTGGAAACAAAGGCATATTTGAGGGAAGTACCTCTCACAAAGAGGTATTGATGAACCAGAAATCAGAGTCTGGACAAATGACCATTTTTCTATAAACACAGCTCTATTGTTTCAGCTATTCTTCTCCAAGGGAATAAATATTTCATTATTCAAAACAGCGGCTGAAAAAGCAGAACAACTCCTCCCCCTTCAACCAATAATCTTGCTCTCTCCACTCTAGAAAAATCAAACTCTATGGTATCCATGATGCCTCTCTTGCAATATCTGTATTAATTTTTTCACTCTTAACTTGTCCACAAACACATTACTGAGATATTAAAAAGACAAAGCCTGAGTCAATTAAGATGTAATGTCTGCAATCCCCTGCCCACCACACAGTAATTCCAACTTGCTCTTTGCATCTGCACCACCTGTACTTAACTCCTGGTTTTGATACTACTAATGCCTTCATTTTCATTAATACTTTTTTTTTTTGCTTTACTCCATCTGTCAAGCTGCCTCCTCTGCAATAAGTTCCTTCCCAAGTGTGTTCCCAGCCATTTCATAGATACAAAATCAAAGAGAGAATTCTGTCTTCCTTCCAGCCCTAGCAGATCCAATAAAAATAAAGAACACTTTCTTTCTGGGAATCACCATCTCTGATCCACACAAACTCACAGCACCAGCATTGCAAAACAAGCCAAGATTTCAGTAGGTGTGGAGGGATATCTTCATACTCTCACTCAAAATCCACACTCTGGCAAGATTGAAGGAATGCAGGTGACTAGATTCTCTGGTGTCCTATATCTCAAGAGAGAGCTGACGGGAGAACTCATTACTGTCTTCAGCTGAACCAGTGGGATTGGGTCAAGGAACATCAAGGCTTTTTGGGAAATGCTCAGTGATAGCATCAAAGGCAGTGGACACAAAGGCCAACAAGAGCTGCCTAGATATTTAAAAAACCATCATTGTTGTCAAACACTGAGAAAGGTTGCCCAGATAGGCTGTGGAACCCTGATACTCAAGTGTTCCAGACTGAAGTAGCCAGGCCCTAAGCACCCAAAACTAATATGATCAATTCCTGGCTGGAGTGGGATTAGACCTCTGGACATAGCTTCTAACCTGGATTATTTTAGGATTCACATGCTCATGGATGCCTGTATCTGGAGTAACTGTAGCCAGTAGCCATCTCCAAAGCTGTTCCAAAACTTCAACAAGGGCAACATGAAGCAGCAGACTTCTACAGAAGGAAGATGGATTAAGGTTCCCAAATACTCAAATTTACACATGACAGCTCCATAATGGATTTTAGTACATTGTTCCATTCACAACACACAAAATCAAAAACATAAGTCTCAGTTAATAATCACATATAGAAAAATGTATAAACCCCTCCCTCAACCACAACAAAAAGAAAAAAATCACACTAACTGCAAACTGAACAAGCTTTACCATGCCTTATCAATAAAAGAACCAATTTTCAAAACTGCTGGTAGAACAACAGCATAAGAAGAAAGGTTAATCATGAGATGGCAGATTTTTACTTTTCCTAAACATACACTTTGATCAGCTGCAGTTCAGTCACTACAGCTAGAGTAATTGGATAATGGGACAAAGGGAAGTGTACTCCAAAGATTTTCATGCCCTTGCATATGTTTAACACACTCTTGATATGAAATAAGATCCAGGTTCCCTTAGCAAATCATCCAATGCATTATTCAACGTTCCTAGGAGGGCTTTAACATGGATGCATCCAGCTAGAGACAATAGCTTCAATTAAATCACTGACGGTTGAGTAAAGGATGAGGTCCTGCTAACGAAGATCACTGATATGAGGAGACAAACACAGGAAGAACATCATTATGTGATGATATCAGCCCCGGGCTGCAGAGTGATGGAAGAGTTCCGTACTGGGAAACAGCATCTGCTCTGCCCCATGTCACAAGTTGGGGCCAACACATGTGCCTGAAATTAGGTTATTCCTAGCCAATTTTGGTGTACCTGGTGCATTAAAAGCACAGATGGGGTTGCATAGATACTCACAAATAAAAGACACAAGCTAGTTAGCTGCATTTCCACACAACTATTTGAGAATGTACTAATGAAAAACAAAGCAAAGAAAATCAACAGAGAATTAATTCAAGGCAAATTTCCCCTTCAAGAAGAGAAGATTCCTAGAAAATAAAAGCAGACAAAATGCTTATTTGAAAAGGAGAGAACATCTTTTCAATAATACAAAATGTTAGTTTCTTTTTTGGCAACTATTTAAAACCAACTTCCTAGAGTTTGTATAAACCATGTTGCCGATATTCTGTACAAACTTGCTACTTACTTAAATATATTTCCCTTGTTCTATTTAATACTGTGATGGAAAAGCAGCCTTTAATATTACATTATTCAGAATTACATCAAAATTGTTAAATGCACAAAAAATTCAAAAGCGAGTACATAAGGAACTCATTAAGACCTTGGACAAATATACATATAATGACTCATTTGAGACCTTTGACTTGAAAGAAACAAATATGTCATCAGGGGTATGACATGGCACACCAATAGACTTCTAATAGCTACATGTATAATTAACAATTTCTTTTTAGCTTATTGGAGCTCTAATTTGATGTGGCTATTCTTTTCCCTAGTTTTGGGAGGAATGGAAATGGGTTTTTTTGACATTCTTAGAAGTGTCTTTTCCATCCTTCTCTTGGTATTTAGTTCATCTTCTAAATAAAAGGGAAGAAGAAATGCTACACTGGGAACTAAATTACCAAGAGCAGTTTGGAGAGAAAATGACTTTCAATTTGTTCTCTCTTCCAAAGCCGATCGCCTGCCCTAAATGATTCATTCTGCACTTCAGGCCTCCAAGCTTTCTGGTTGCCTTAAGCACAAGGACAGCATGAAATAATTGAAACCAACAACAAGGAAAAACGTGACATTGTAGGAAATGGTACTGGACACACTCTTTAAAAACAAATAAACCAGCAAGAAATGGTAAGGCCACAAAAGGGACAATGTAAAATGACCCAGCAGGTATTCTAAAAGGTGCAGCTATAAAAAAAAAAAAGACAACTTCAGCTGCAAAAGGCTGTGGTCTCTTAAACAGACTTTGATGGTGGAATTGCACAGTAGGGATACATTTCTTAGCTCTGCGCAGAAGGGACACCTAAGTAAAAAAGGGTTCTTCAGCATTCAGAAAACAGCTTGACAGAAGGCTTTTATTACTAGGGCTACTTAAAAGCACAGAAGAGGAAAAATAGTTGGTAAAGCCGAAAGGAATACATCAAGATGAAAGTCTCCTACTGTAAAGATTGAAGAGAAAAACAGAACAAGTTCCTGGGAAGCCTGCTTCTCCAGCTGAAGAGCAAAGAGTTCCTCTGATATTTGAAGCAGTTATTTCAACATGGCAGTCTCATCATAAGGCTTGCAAAATAAAACACACAAGTGAGGAACTTGTTTGGAAGATGTGGCATGAGGATGTGGTGGTGGCTACCCAAACATTGGGAAACAACTTCTTGGCATGTGGTAGGTACATAGAGTGACTTTGGCAAGCTTCCCCATCACCCCCAACAACAGAGCTACAACAAGACGAACCAGCACTGCTGGTGAGGGCCCACAGCTGCACCATAAGTTCAGTGTCAGAAGTTCCTGGCTTCCCAAAGCACTGCAGAGCTGAGATATGCTTGTGGCAACTGGAATGCCATATTCTATCCCCTCTCGGACTCACATCAGTGGCCATACTTGATTCCCATAGCACGTTGAATTCACCAGACTTGGGTTGTTTTGCTTCTTACCTATTGCTGGAAGTCATTGTCTCCAACCCCTCTCAAGTTTTCTATTAAAGTGTATGTCTATCAGTCATCTGGCACTGGAGCTTAAACTCGGGATCTCTGCCCCATTCCCAAACATCCCAAAAAGAAGGCTGGAGAGCCCTGTTCTGGTTCTTAATCTCAATCTCTCAGTTCTCATCAATACCTGATCAGCAATTCAGGATTGAGAGGGCCCTCCTGGGCTGGGACTATTAACTCATATAGAACCCAGTCCTATAATGACTTTTACAGACCCATCAAATTCATCTTAAAATC